ATGAAACCAATTCTCAGATGACAGTTGTGAGCATGGCGCCGGACTGGGCAGCGCTGGGTCTGTTGGGCGTAAGGTTGTGAGACTGGAGGCACCTCCAGGGCACCTAACAACAACCAGGTGATCTAAACAGTTTCCTCTGGTTTCAACGTCTGCCATCTGGGCAAGATGTACAGTGGTTTCATGGTGTATGTTTGGTTTGGTTTTCTGTGTCAGCGACCGGGACTGGACATGAGCACCCTTGCTATAAGGTCCGGGTGCGGAACCTTCTATTTGGATACTTACAGCATCATTCAAGGGCCACACAGGATGATCCACTTAAGAATTAGCTGGCTGAGTTTTGACCAAATGTAGCCGGCTAATTTTCCTTTGGTTTAAGGCAGTGGTTCTCAACCTTCCTAATGCCACAACCCTTTAATACAGTTCCTCATGTTGTGGTGACCCCCAACCATACAATTATTTTCGTTTCTACTTCATCACTGTAATTTTGCTACTGTTATGAATCAGGTGATCCCTGTGAAAGAGTTGTTCGACCTCCAAAGGGGACGCAACCCACAGCTTGAGAACCGTTGGTTTAAGGATAAGAGCGAGCTTTCTATGATATAAATTCTGTGATCCCCAGTGTGAGGGTCGCGCTCCAAGGGTGTAGTGCATTGGGTACCTCTTGGACATCTCAGGAAGCCAAGGTGTCACCTTGAGGGCTGAGGTCAGCCTGCCCCCAGGCCGCAGCATGTTGAGTCGCCACATGCAGGTGAAAAGAGGAGGAGGAATAAGAAGATCAAAGAAGAATGGGTGCCTTTGACTGATGGTGCCGGTGAAGAAGCAAAAAAGCAAGTCTGTGCGGGAGGAGGTATAGCCAGAACCAACCCTAGGAGAGAGGATGCCCAGATGTCATGTTTCAGTAGAGGCCAAAGCCATACCAAGCTCAGTGCTATCGGGTAGATTCCAGCTCATGTCGACCCCCTAGGGCAGGCTAGAACTGCCCTTGTGGGTTTCTGGGACTGTAACTCTTTACAGGGGCAGAAAACCTCATGGTTCCCCCACTCAGGAGAGGCCAGTCCCTGTAAAAGGTTGTCACATCCATGGTCAGCGACAAAGAAGACCCTCCACATGGCATAGTGACACAGGAGCTGCAACAATGGGCTCAAAAACCCCACCATCGTGAGGATGGCACAGATGGGGCAGGGTCTCCTGGAGGGTCACTGCGTCAGAACTGATTCAGAGGCACCTCACAACAGCTCAGAGATGGTTAGAGCCTCTGAGACTTTGCTCCTTTGTCACCCTTCAAGTCTGGAATTAAACTCAGCCCCTTGGCTCAATTTTCAGTCCAACAGACAGGTCTGTAAGGGGAACAACAGCATCAGGGTGGTGCACATGCCATAGAATAACCAACTATTTGAGATCCAAAGGGCAGCCTGCACCCAAGGACAAAGTTTAGAAAGGCTGAGGGAGAAGGAGGAATGAAAACAGGAAGCACAGGGAAGAAGTGGGATGGTGCACAGGAAGTGGTGGTGCACAGGAAGTGGGATGGTGCACAAGAAGTGTAGTGGTGCATGGAGAGGGTTGCAATGGTTGCAATCAATAATGTGAAACAAAACGAGTATGACTTGTTGAATGGAAAACTGATCTGCTCTGTAGACCTTCACCCGATTCACAATAAATGAAAGTTATCATTTTTAAAAGGGAGAGCAAAGAGGACGTGCTGCTAAGAACCCCATTATGCACCCACCCCGTAGAGACCTCCAAAAATGAATCCGCTTCAAAGTGCTGACACACACATACCTCACACTATTAAGAGGCTTGCCCGTGTCACTTTAAAGGGCCAGCAGTCTTCTCTCCTGGTGGCTACGGAATTAAACCACAGGAGAGCACATCTCCTTTAAGCAGTCCACTTCGCAGAGCCAATATTTAGTGAACGTTCAATCTTTGTGAATACTCCTCCTGTCCGGTGATGTGGAACCAGGGTTATTTACTAAGGATTGGAAGGAGTGAGTCAAAGAAGTATGGTCTTGGGTTGTCAAGAAGCCTCAGGTCCCCAGGGACACAGGGCAGGTGTGTGGGGGTGAGCCCATGTTCCCATTGAACTTGCTCCTGAGCAGAAGACAGGTTGGCCTGAGCAGCCCCTCAGATGATGTTCTGTTTAATTAGCAGGAAGTAAACAGTGAGTACAACTCAACACGCTGGCCTGGGAACAAATACCAGAAGGGTAGAATCATGCGCAATGTATTTTCCAAGATTGTTTAATGCTATTTTTTAAGATATCCCTTAAAATTTTCAGAAGGAATGTCCAGCTTGCATCTCTTTTCAGAACACTGTGTTCCCACCCCAGAGGGTGGACCCCCGACCCCCGGGCTCCCAAGACCCAACCTACTCTGTGGGACGGCGGTGTCCAAGTCTAGACTCCTGATCCAAGCTGGAGCAACCACACTCTCCCTACTGGATCCTTGAAATCGAGGCTCTTCTTGCTAGGTGTCACATAGCAACCACTTGTACCTCCGAATGAAAGACTGCCCAGGCAACAGCCTCACTGCAGGTGCTGTGTGTAAACCCATTGCTCCAGCCACTGTGCCAATCCATTGTGTCGAGGGGGTACTTTTCTGATGGTCCTCCACTTTCCCATCATGTTGTCCTCCTCAGGGACTGGTCTCTCCAGATCACATGTCCCCGCCGTCAGTTACATAATCTGTTGTCAACTTGAGGATATTAAGAGTGAATGGGTGTAGTTTAGTGTGTCAATCAGATCGCAGCTTCATGACCTCATTTGGAGGCATGACAGATGAAAAGCTCATGGGAGACCGACCCACTCACTCTGCTTTGTCTCCCTGCTGACAAAGCTATGCTGATGGAACCAGAGCCCTGGATCTGGAAGAGCCACGTGGAGACCCACGCCAATGCTGAGATGCTTCCACTGCCACTGGATCCACAAGACTTCCCACCCACTAGCCTGTGTTCTTCCTGCTTTTGGCATCATTGCTTGTGTTGTGTGAGTCTGAAGAGGAACTTATAAACTGGTATCGGGCATATCAGCTAATATCAGACTTATGGACTTGATCTGGACTGGGCTGAGATGTTTTCTTAATATACAATTTCTCCTTGATATAAAGCTCTTTCTTCCTGGATTTGTTTCTCCAGTCAACCCGGACTAACACAAGTACTCTGGCTGTTCTTCTTCTAAAGATCAGAGAAGAAACAATGCATTTGAATCCTGCGGCTGGCAGAGAGTATCCAAAGCACTGTGGACTGCCAAAAGAGCACATGCATCTGTCTTGGCAGCTTTAGGGTGCCATACTTTTGGCATTGGGCTGCTAACCACAAGGTCAGGGACTCAAACCCACCAGCCTCTCTGAGGGAGGAAAATGTCTATTCCAGTAAAAGCCTACAGTCTCAGAAACTCTGTGGGGCAGCTGTATTCTGTCCTATAGGTTCACTGTGAGCTGGAATCGACTGTAGCAGTGGGTTGAGCTTGGTTTGTTGTTGCTTTGATGGTAACTCGGGGAGCCTTGGTGGAGCCTGAAGGCCCACAGTGAAATCTCACCAGCGTGTCATGGGAGAAATATGTGGCAGTGTGCACCTGAAGATTCTGAACCAAACCTAGCCATGGCCATGGAGCCCATTCTGACTCCCTGTGACTCTATGGGACAGGGCAGAACTGCCCTTCTGGGTTTCTGAGGCTGTAACTTTACGAGGAGGCCTGTTGGCGTAATGGTTACATGCTGGGCTAACTACAAGGTCATCGGTCTGAAACCACCTGTCGCTCCCAGGGAGAAAGATGAGGCGTTCTACTCTCCTGAAGAGTTACAGTCTCAGAAACCCACAGGGGCAGTTTTACGCTGTCCTACAGGGTCATCGTGAGTCGGCATGGACTCAGCAGTAGTAAGCATGGGTGGATTCTTTCCAGGAAGCAGACAGTCTCATCTCATCTCGTCTTTATCTCGAGGAGCACCTGGTTGATTGGCATAACAATTGTGAGGGTGCTGCAGGGCCAGGCAGTGTTTCAGTCCGTGGACATTGGGTCCCTGTGAGTCACAGCCAACTCCCCAGCACCTAACTCCATGGTAAATCTAGGCCCTGATAGCAAATGGTTTAAACATTGAGCTGCTGACCACGTGGTCAGTGGTTCGAATCTAGCAACCACTTGGAGGGAAGCTGCATGGGGCAGTTGTTGTGCTTGTGTGGTCAGCAGCCCAACACATAATGCACTCTGACCACTTGGGACCCAGCAAGGGCTGCTGTGCTCTATCCTAGTGTGAGCTGGGTTGGCTTTTGTGGCAACAGGTGTGGGTGTTTTACTTTGCTTTGACTAACTATGCAGAACTTGTGGTTGGACTGCTGACAGCGAGGCCAGTAGTTTAAAGCCACCAGTTGCCCCACAGGGAGGGGTGTGTGAATAAAGCTTTCTACTTCCATAAAGAGTCAGTGTCAGAAACCCACAGGGGCAGTTCTACCCTGTCCTAGAGGGTCACTGTGGTTCGGAATTGCCTCGATGGTAGTGAGTTTGGTTTTTGGTTTTTCATAAGGCCTGAGAATGTCAACACTGCTTTGTCTTGACTGGACTGACCACGGCCTCTTGCTAAGTACACATATCCCCGGCACCTATGCCTGGGAACCTGCTGGTACACCTTCCCCAGGTAGCTCCCATGCTCAGTCTGAGCAGGGAGGAGGTCAGTGTGGCCAAGGGCAGGGTGTTACAGGGAGAGGGCTATGGAGGCGGCTGGCAGGCCAGGTGTCAGGCTGCGTGACGAGGAGGCGGGGCCAGGCGGCAGGCAGCTGACCGTGTGCTCTTATCCCTACCTCCCCTAGCCGCACTACGACCTTTGCCACGCTTGGCCCGGCGTCCCGCGCTGGAGCTCGGCCCGCCCCTCCGCGTCGCTCCGGCCTGTGATTGGCCGACTCATGGCCCGGCCCCTTTCTCTGGCCAATGGAGCGGGCGAGCGCGAGGACCGGAAGCCGGAAGCGGGCGGCAGCTCGGGCGACGCGCCCGCGGCCAGCTGTTGCCCGGCGCCATGCGGGGCCTCGGGCCAGTGGCGCGCTCTCTGCTGTTGCTGCGGCTCTGCCCGCGGCCGCCTGGAGCCCGCCTGTCCTACGGTCAGGCAACGACGGCCGGCGCCCTGGAGCGCGCCATGGACGAGCTGCTGCGGCGCGCCGTGCCCGCCACGCCGGCGTACGAGCTGCGCGAGAAGACGCCGGCGCCCGCCGAGGGCCAGTGCGCCGACTTCGTGAGCTTCTACGGCGGCCTGGGCGACGTGGCCGAGCGCGCCGAGCTGCTGGGTCGCCTGGCGAAGGGCTTCGGCGTGGACCACGGCCAGGTGGCCGAGCAGAGCGCCGGCGTGCTGCAGCTGCGCCAGCACCCGCGGGAGCCGGCCGTGCTGCTGCTGGCCGAGGACCGGCTGCGCTACGCGCTGGTGCCGCGGTACCGCGGCCTCTTCCGCAACATCAGCAAGCTGGACGGCGGCGTGCGCTTCCTGGTGTGCCTGCGCGCCGACCTGCTGCAGGCGCAGACGCTCAAGCTGCTGGAGGGGCCGCACCTGCGGGTAAGGGGTCCGGGACTGCCTCCCCGTCCGCCAGCCCGCCCGGGCTCCGAGTGCACACCCCCGCCTGCCTTCCTGTAGGACCTCGTAGCCCAAAAGATCCACCGCAGTCCACTTGGCCCTGATCACAGCCACCACCCGGTAGGGCAGATCAGCACTGCCCCATAGGAACTGCTGACCTTGTTGGCAGCCCAGCGCCCAGTCCACAGTGCTACCAGGCCCTTGTATATCCCCTCCAGAGAAAAACACTGCCATGACATCAGTTCCCACTCACAGCCACCCTGTAGGGCAGAGCAGGACTGCCCTAACCTTAGGATTTCCAGAAAACTGCCCTGTAAGGTTTCCTTGACCGTAAATCTGTACACCTTTCTCCTTTGGAGTGGCTGGTGGGTTCAAACTGCTCACTTTTCCGTTAGGAGCCCAACGTCTAACAGCCCCACCAGGATCATGTCTATATCCTTCTCCCCTCCCCCACTGCCATGAGGTTGATTTAACTCACAGGTACCCTATTGGACTGTGATCCCTTTCAGAGCAGTTGGTAGCCATAGCTGGGCACCATCTAGTTCTTCTGGTCTCAAGGTCATAGAGACTGGTGTTTACATGGTCCTTGAGTCCATCAGACTTCTTGGTTACATGTGCCTTTCCAGCGAGACCCACAGTTGCCTCTGGTGTCTTCTCGGGAGCTTTTAAGACCCCAGTTGCTACTCACGAAGTAGGATGTAGAACACCGGTCTTTGTGACTATGCTAGGCCAGGTGACTGCTGTCCCATGAGACTGTGGTCCTGAACCCCCGCCCAGCTGCTCATTCCCTCCAGGTGCTTGGTTCTTTGCCTCTTGGTGACATAGTGGTTACATGTTGAGCTGCTAGCCTCAAGGTCAGCAAGTTGGAAACCACCAGCCACTCCAAGTGAGAAAGATGGGGCTTTCTACTCTCATAAAGAGCCACAGTCTCAGAAACCTACAGGGGCAGTTCTACGCTGTCCTATAGAGTTGCTGTGAGTCGGGATCGGTTTGCTGGCAGTGAGTCTGGTTTGGGGTTTTGGTATGCTGTACCACATTTATGCATGTCATTTGCAGCAAAGGTCAGGTGGTCACACACATGGTCAGATGCTCTGTCACACCTAGTTAGATTCAGGGGAATAACCCCACGCCCCCACCAAGCAACTTCTTGTAGATCGCCCTTACTGCAGGACTATGTGTATAACACTGTCTGCGTAGGTCACCATTATTGCAGGAGAGTGTGTATAACACTATCTGCATAGATCATAGATTACCGTTACTTC